CTGCACCAGGAACCACTGGTTACCTTTAAGCCTGATGGCTTAATGAGTAACTGAGAACCTAGATTATAAGACATGGTTCATTGAGAACCTAGGATATAACACATCAGTCACCACTTGGTAACAAGAGGATGGTAAAGTTCCAAAACAGAAATTCAGATTGTCCAGATGTGAATTTTCTCAGTAAGGGATGACATGGGAAGCCCCTAGAAGCCTAGGTGGTTACACCATGGGCTCTCTTGATTGGATTGACTCAGATTTTCAGATATACAAAGTAAACAACAAGAAAACATAATTGGGAAATGTTCTACCAAAATGAATGGGACCTGGAGCCAAAACCCAAGTCCTGTTATGCAGAAGAAATAAAGATGATTTTCCAGTACTAGTCCACAGTGCTTAGGCTGAGAGATGTCCTGCTGGTGGGTGGTCAAGAGAAAATCAAGTTCCTCAACTCCTACTCACTTCTGTTGGCTTGTGAGAGGATATTTGAAAGCCAGAGAAGCACTAACTGTCCTACAGAAGTTAAAGTGTTCTGACTTGGATGAAGCACATTCTAGCATCTTCACACAATTTGCAAATGAGATGGCTAAACCACTGCAAGTGATCTTTGAGAAGTCATGGACAGAAGAAGAATGGAGATAAGCAATGAACATGGAACTTTCTACAAAGGAGATAGAGTTTATAAAGCGTGCATGATGATAACTTGAAGCAAGCCCAGGTAAGAGCTTTAAAAGAGGAGTCTCTGACTCAACAACAACAAAGAAAATAATCCAGTGAAAAAATGGGCAGAAGAGCTAAAAAGAAACGTCTCTGAAGAGGAAATGCAAATGGCCAATAGGCATATGAAAAAATGTTCAACATCACTTGTAATCAGGGAAATGCAAATCAAAACTACCATGAGATACCATCTTACACCAGTGAGAATGGCACATATTAAAAAAACTAGCAACAACAAATGTTGGCGAGGGTGTGGAGAAAAAGGAACTCTCCTGCACTGCTGGTGGGAGTGCAAACTGGTCCACTATGGAGAGCTGTGTGGAGATTTCTGGACCTACTAAACATAGAGCTTCCATGATCCAGCAATTCCACTCCTAGGTATTTACCCAAAGGACACAGAAACATCCATTCCAAAGAACACCTGCAACCCTATGTTTATAGCAGCACTATTTACAATAGCTAAGCTATGGAAACAACCCAAATGCCCAAAAATAGATGACTGGATCAAGAAGATGTGGTACATATACACCATGGAATATTACTCAGCATTCAAAAAAGATAAACACATGCAATTTGCAGCAACATGGATGGCGCTGGAAGGGATCATGCTCAGCGAAATAAGCCAGAAAGAAAAAGAAAAATACCGGATGGTCTCACTCATAGCAGGAATCTAGAAAACTTAAATAAGGGACCAGGAAAATGAATAACTATAAGAAAGTGAAAATCAGAATCAACAAAAAACTATGAACCAGAGACACTTTTTGGGGGGTGGGGGGTGGGAGGGGAGGGATTGGGGTCAAAATGGGGGGTTGCAATTGTATGGGGAATATAAAAATAAAATTTATTATTAAAAAAAAGAAAAAAAAAAGAAATTCTGTTTCCCCTGTTTGTTAGATAAACTCCGTTGTTGTTTTACCCTGAAAAAAAAAAAAGAGGAGTCTCTGGTAGAAGCAGTTTCCAGAGGTTGGCGTGGGAGCTAAAAGCAGATTAGCTAGGCTTCTCACTTTTCTTCTTGTGTGTAATCACTAACTGGTCAGGAAAATTTGGCAGGCATCACATATTTTGACTTCAGCCTACACTTAGCAGTGTCCTGTGGACAGTGTGGGAAACACGGGCTGTGTACAGGCTGAGAAACAGCCTGAATGGCTATGCAAAGTTACTTATTAGTGAGTTGAGGTCAAATCTAGGAATAGTCAGGACATGGGTCACTGTCTACAGTCATCTTTGGTTCATTGTTTCCATCAGTCAGTGACTAAACCTATATAAAAGATGAAGTTATCAAAGAAATAACAGAGAAAACATTGATGACCAGCTTTGGGAGGATGAAATAAGCAATGTGGGAAAGAACCGGCTTCTGTCCACTGCCAGCAATTTATTTTGTTATATAGTGTAAGCTCTAGTGATCAAAATTACTATCTCCTAAATGGTTAGCCAGTTTTCTCAACAATAGTTATGAATAGCATATCATTTCCCCAGTGATTTAAAACAGTAAGAAAACAATAATGCAGGCCTCCCTGATGGTGCAGGAGGTTAAGATGCAACCTATGAAGCTGTCTGCATCCACTGCAGCACGAGTTCAATCCTTGGCCACAGAGGTATCCACATGGCACAGCAGACCTCTCCTGACTTGCCCGCTGCTCCCCTCAGCAGTGTATTTCACTCAATCTGCCTGTTCTGCTCCCCACTATGTTTCTGGTGAATCCTCTTACCCCTCACACTTCTGGTCTGTACCCCAGTTCTTGTATGCATAAATAAATAAATGTTTAAAAAAATGCCAGTAGTCATTAACAATAACCAATATTTGCTTATTGCTGCTTTATGCCATGCACTGTTCTAACAGGTTTTAACTCACTTTCCATAGTAACTCTTTAAGGTAGGTACTGTTGTTATGATTTCTATGTTATTATAATCATCTCTTAGTGGTGAAACTGAGGGACAGAATGGCTGATAATTTGTCCAGAGTCACATAGTTAAGGAATAGTGATATTTAGATATAGTCTTGAACAACCTGGTTTTATTTTTTAAGCTTTGAAATTATTTTATATGCATGGGTTTGTTTTTAGCCTTTCTAGTTTGTTCCAGTGTGTTCATTCCTTTAGCATTGTTTTTAATTGAAGTAACATTGCATTATATAACATTGTATAAGTTGCAAGTGTGCATCATTTTACTTCAGTGTCTCCAGTTTTTTCATTCCTATGTTGATGCTACATTATCTTAATTTCTAGTGATTCACTAGAAATCACTTCCCTGTTTTTTCTTTATTAATTTCTAATTTAACCACATCTCCACTTCCATTTTATAATATGGTTTCTTCAGGTGTTAAAGGTCTTGTTCTTTTTTTTTTTTTAAAGGTCTTTTTTTCTTTTGGATACTAAAAGCAGCCAAACCATATAAACCACATTTTTCTAGAAAGTCTCTTGACAGCACTTTCTGAAGTGATGTGATTTGCAGGACTCCTTAGCAAGAGGAGTTCTATGATGCCAGCTCTCATGTAATCTCCTGTAGAACAAGATTGCTCTTACCTGCTTGTGGAGATCAGAGCAGTGCTGGTCCTTGGAACATTCTGCAGTGGTGGAAAAATTTTAAAGCTGTGCTGGCCAATATGGTCTCCATTAACTACACATGGCACTTGAAATGAATATTTAAAATTAAGCACTTGAAATAGTATGACTGAGAAACTGAATTTAAATTTGATTAATCTAAGTTAATTTAGATTTAAGTAACTATGTTGTGACTTGTGGCTACTATCTTGGACAGTGCAGACTAGATGGAAAAGTTAAGTAGCTTGAACTGTTCTCATATGTGCCTCATTCATTGGCAAGGAAACAAGTCATCTGTGTTTTGAGAGTCCTTTAAGTCCAGGGGCTATTATTTTTCATCCTGTAGCTCCTCCCCCTTCTGGTAACAGATCTTTGCTTTGACTGTTTTTAGTTCTTCCCAGGCAGTGCTGGATTGCCCAGGGGCCAGATTAAGCACATAATGGGGTATTGGTCGAAGAAGGGTACAAAGAAATGAAATAATTTAATATTCCAACAGTGACAACAGCAACAAAACACCTAGAAAATTGTAGACTTGGTTGCACTTCCTTACCCTCATTCCATGACTTGGTGTTATTTCTAACTCTATACATACCCTATACTCTGTACAGAGTAAAGCTGCTTCCGGCTCCCCTCCTCCCCCCAAAACTCTTCAATGCCTGGAGGTACCATTCAAACAGATTTCTATTCTTCCAAAGAGGAACTTGAACTACTTACATTCCCAGGGCCCATCATCATCAGCCTGTGCAGGAAAGGTCTGGCCTGGGCCCCTGACTTTGGGGGGCTCTACCACAAACAGAGCTGGATTCAGATTTATACTGGGGATGCATGGTGCCTTGGCCAAAAGCAAAGACTCTGGAGCCAGACAGTGTGGGTTTGAAACCTGGCTGTTATTTGCTAGCTGGGTGACCTGTGTAAGTTGCTTAACTACTCCCTGCCTAGGTTCCTCATTTGTAAAACAGGAACAGCAATAGTAGCCAATGATTATGCTGGGAACTATTATCATACTGGGTACTATCAGTAGTGCCTGGTTCATTGTAAGTGCTAAATAAGTATTTGCAAATTGAAACAAGACCTTTCATTTAGAACACAATGTTCAAATTCAGTCATTTGACCCAAAAGTGCAAATCAAATGTGGGTGTCTTTCAGTTTATAAGCAGGGAATCTCCCTGGAGTTGGTGTGTGTTGTGCCCTAGATAGAGCAGATGTCTTTCAAAGAACTTTTATAGCAGTTTTCTTCTTTTATCCTCATAGCAACCTGCTGAGCAGAGCAAAGAGGTCCCATCCTTATTGATGTGTAAGAAAAATGACAGATGACTCTAACAGAGTATTTATTTGCTATGTTTGACAGGTAGAGCTGTCATTTTTAGAGCAAAAGTCCAAATGATGTCTGAATGACTCAACACAAAAGAAAATTGCCCTGAAATATTTCACATTTCTTGTTTTGAGAGGACAACAAAAGCCGCCCAGGATGCTGTATTTGCTCAGTAAGAGCAGTCTTTTATCCCTTGTACCTTTAAAGTGGTCTGGTTTTACACTGTCATTTCAGTATAACCTGGACCTGGGGTTTCCCAGGCCAGCATCCTCAGGGCCAACTCAGTGGACTCAGTGGCACTCGGGGCATTTTGAAGTAGTTTTGTTAAGTGGGACCAAGCTCTGCATTAAAATGGAGTGAGCACAGTTGGTTGTGTGGGTTTTGGGGGGCCATGATTTGGGGCTGTGGCTTCAGTGATTGTTTTTGTCTGGCAGGTTCCTCAGTCACGCTGCAGCAGATGGCAGGTGTCGGGCTGGGCTCCGTGGTTGCTGTGATTATCCTTGCATTCCTCTCCTCCTCAGCAGTGTGGTACGTAAGACCGTCATTTTTGAGAAGAGAGTGGAATAGTGGGAGGATGGGATTAGAGTCGTGAAAAATAGCTGGGATTGAGAAGGGTCCAAGGGCATGTGCGTAGAGGCTGTCTGGACTCTGCACATCTCACCAGGTGAAAGACTTGAGTGACTCTGAATCTCCATGTAGAAAGGGGATGCCCTCCTGGCCCAGAAAAACAGTGGGATGGTGACAGCCGACCTGGCCATGGGGTTGCACATCTCCCATGCTGTTTGGCTGAGCTGCACATGGGATGCATCAGGGCAAAATCAAACTGTATCAATGGCTTCTCTTTTCCTCCTCCACCTCTAGATTGCAGACAGCAGCTGTGTGGGGAAGAGGCGCTGCTGCTGGGGCACATCCTGCCACAGCTTCTCAGGTGCCCACATAGAGACTCCAGCCAGGTGGCTTCCATCCAGGTGTGAATGTGGGTCTACAAATTTCTCCTTTCCCAGCTTCACCCCATTCCTGGACTCGTGACAGTGACTGTCTCTATGGAATCTCCTAAAAACAGAAAACACAGGAATTGCCGATGCCATCCCTGCTACAGGAAAATTTCTGTGTCTGTGAACTTGAGAGCCTTGACATACAATGTAATACTGGTCGCAGGCTGTAGACCACATGGGCTGGACCTGTGTCTTCCGCTGAATGGTACCTGAGAATCAACGCCTTTATACGTAAATGCAAGAGTCTGTGCATCCTCTTTCCTATCATCTCTGATAATTCATTTAGAACCCATTCTATTATAGTATGATGGAAGGGCTTCACTTGGGGCTAGTAGTTGACTTTATGAAGGAGATAATTGAAATGGTAAAGAACACTGGTCTAGGCAAACTTGTCCGACTCTTTAGAAGCAGCCCCTTTCCTACAATTAATTGACATACTGATTACAAAGTATAGCAGCCTGTCTGCTTTGATGCAGTTCTCATTGTTCATTCACTAAAAAATACTCTGTAGTTTGGACTGTTCTTCTGTGTGAATGGTATATTTGGTTAATTTTTAATTTTTTTAATTATTGAGACTTCTCCTAAAAGTGCACCTGTCCCCCTTCAGATTGGGAGGTAGTATAGTGTCGGCAGGTTGAAACAGTGTCAAGCTCCTGTCCAGAGTCCAGGTGTGCATACATGGAGGGGGGAGCAGTGTGAGGGAAGCGACCACTCCCTGTATCTGCTCCCTCCGGAGCTGTAATTGTCACTCACTGTATTAAGAACCATGACACATACCATGTAAGCAGTGCTGAGCCAATGTCCATCTGCTGGACTTGTAGATGGGGTGTATTCGATCTCACTTTTAAAACCTGAAACAATATTCTCTCTCCTTTCTAATTGACAGCCTAGCTCCAAAACTCAGTAAAAGTGCCAAAGAGAAGAAAGACAGGCTTGTGGCTTCTCTAGGTAGCAGTGTTGTTCTTCCCCTTTTCCTCCCCCCCCCCCTTTCTGAGCTGGAGAATAGAAATAGGGGATGGGGGAGAAGAGGGACAGTCTCATGGCATGACCTCAGGGTGCGGCATCTGTGAATGTGACCCTGGAACTGTGCGACGTTGCAGTCCTGAATATAAGGGATAGACTCTCCATGGTGTGTCAGCGTGTCCTCTGCAGCTTGTGGGCTTTGGTGGGGATGGCCTGGGCAGCCTGGGCAGGTGAGAAGCTAAGGAGACAATAGGAGCAAAGGAACAGGTGGCAGCTCTCCATGAAGCGGCTCATCCCTGGGGAGTCCCACCCAAGGTGTGTCCACTGAGTTGGGGAGAGTCAGAGGGTGGAAGTGATATCTGACGCTAGGGTCTCCGTGCCAACTGTCAGCCCCTGGCCCCCACTGGTGTTAAGCAGTATTTGGAACAATTCTTTGAGGTACTATCTCAGGCTACAACTTAGGATCAACATTGAGAATCTTTCTTGTGCTCAGGTGAATCACAGAGGACAGCTCTCAGTAGACAGATCCAGTAACATTCTTTCCTTTGTGTGAACTTGAATACAAACAGCTCTTGAACTAAATTTGGAATCACTCCAAATTACTGTGCTTAGTATAAGGTGGGGTAGCTGATGAGTAAGAATTTTCTTCAAAGCCCTCTGTATCCAAAGAGAGAGTCTGTACTTGCCTGTTGTTATCATTCATACACACACACACACACACACACACACACACATGTATTTGTGGTTTATAAAAATATAGGACCCTCACCCTTCTTCCCAGCTCTAGAATTAACTGTAGCTCTAAAAGCTGCAGTTTTCCACATGGGAACTTAGCATAATTGTCATGGAATGGAAGAAATCTACTTACTTTACTGGATAAAATAACTGACTGAATATTAAGTAAACTGTTAAGTAAAATATACCTCTGGGTACAGTGCAGAAATGTAAAACCAGTTCATGAAAGAGTACTAAAATAGCAAAATATGGACATTGTTATTTCCTCCAAGTATTCCAAATTGTAACTCAGGGTTGCTCAGTATTAATATTTAAGAGAAGCAGGTGCTCAGTATTTGCAAAAGAAAAAAGAAAGAAAAAAATTTCTGCAGTTCTGTCCTAATAATTTTTTTCCTAAATATGAAGGCAGCTTGAAGTTCTCTGAATTCACTTGGTAGCTTTACCACAATGCTGCTGTTGTTTTTAATCCAACTGGACTCCTGGTTAAGGTGGGAGGTCATCTCGGGAGACACCACTGAGTGGGTCTCCCTGGATGAAGGCAGGTCTTTCCATCAAAACACTTATTGGGGAGTGCTCTGAGTTGGGTTATGAACCCCACGGAACAAACAGACCCAAAGGAGAGGCTGGCATAAGGGGCTTCTCCCTATTCACTGTCTTGAGGACAGTGTGCCGATATGAGCAGTAACAGCTGATCTTGAGCGCCCTTCTAGACTAGGAATCAAAGTTGGGGGGTTACCCAGACATGGAGCAGATTGTTCCTGGACTGATTTTTGTGTATGTGCCCATAATTTTTGTTTCGTGTGTTTTGTCCTTCCATTCTTTTTTTTTTTTTTTTAAGATTTATTTATTTATGCATACAAGAACTGGGGTACAGGCCAGATGCTTGGAGCATGGGAGGATCTACCAGAGACAGAGCGGGGAACAGAACAGGCAGATTGATTGAAATACACTGCTGAGGGGAACAGCAGGCGAGTCAGGAGAGGTCTGCTGCACCATGTGGTAGCTCCCTGGCTGGGGATTGAACTCGTGCTGCAGTGGCTGTGGATAGCTTCATAGGTTGCGTCTTAACCCCTTGAGCCACCAGGGAGGCCCTGTCCTTCCATTCTTATAGAAGTTCTGTATGATAGGAAGGTTAGAGGTTATTGGTCCCAATTTCAGAATGGAGAATAGGTACAGATACAGGTGTGTGTGTGTGTGTGTGTGTGTGTGTGTGTGTGTGACCAGGTGCCTTTAGGATTATAGCACAGCTTTCTTATTATACCTTTCTTTTAACTGTAAACTACCTCCTCCGCACCCCCCATCACTTCTCGAAGGAGCCACTAACAACCAAATAGTTCATTGTTCATTGTCTCTAACTCAGTACTTGAAAGTGTACCTGGGTACTTAAGGTACACTGAGAATAAGTGATTATCCTGAAACTCCACCGTAGGTTAGAAAAAAGTCAATATTTGAATTGTTTTTAAAGGAAGTAGATAATTTTCAGTGTTCCCTTTTGAGTGCTATCTCACATTTTGATTTTCTAAGCCTATTTTCCCATACTGTTGGTCTGAGAGAAAGCCAGTGCAAATAGTGTCAATCAAATTGTATTTAAAAGACCTTTTGTCTACTGCCCCATAGTTGGTTAAATTGAAGTGCCTGGTTTGGAAGAGGATAGAGGGTATGACTTTATTCTATCTAGTTTGTGAGCAGGTGATACAATGGAGCAAATTCATTTCAAAACAGTGTTATGTTCATAGTTTCAGGGAGAGGGAGGAGTTAATCATGTTGGTGATCTGTGTTTGTGTGGCCCTGTGTTTCCATATTCATAATTTTGGGGCTCAACTCAGGGGAACCCCAAAATGGGATCTGTGTGTGTAGGTTTTTTTACATGCTCCTTTTATTAATCAGCAGATCCTGGATATGCTTTTCATGATAATAATGACTGCATTGAAAAGTTTGCACCATAATTAATTTAACCAATACCCTATTGTGCATTGTGCATTGAAAGTGTTTCCAGATGTTTGCTGTTCTCGTGCAAGTCTGTATAATTGTATGCAATTATCACATGGGCTAAATTCCTAGAAGTGAAATTGTTGGAATGAAAATGATATACACTTTATGTTTACTACACATTGTTAGAGGAATCTCACACAACGTTTATGCCAATTGACATTCTCACCCGCAGAAAGCCTCAACACCACGGGCATTGTTGAAATTGTTCATCCTGATTAATCTGGTATGTGAAGAATGATGTTTCAGTGTTCTGTTTGCATTTCTCTGACAAGTTTGTAGGTTGATCGGTCATCTGTGATTCTGTCTTGGTGAATTGCCTTTTTTTCCTTAGTACTTGGTCTGTTTTTAATGATTTGAAAGAGTTCTTTGTATCATAGTAATTTTCACTTTTAGCTGTCATATCGTTTGTAAACAAGTTTTCCAGTTTATAATTTCCCTGTACTTTGTGTCATACATAGCCACATAAGAACTTTAAGTTTGTATAGTCAAATTTACCTGTCTTTTTCCTTACAGATTTTGTGTTTGGTGCCAGTCTCAAGGTAATAAATATAACCTAGCAATTTTTAAACATTTAAATTTCCAATTCATCTGAAATTTATTTTATTATTAGAAGTAAGGTGGGGAGCAATCTTTTTGTGTTGTTGCTCAGTGGTGTAGCCATGTCCTATTAAAATTCAGTGATGTTCTGCTTTTCCCCTTGTGAGTTGAATCATATACTAAAGTCTATTTCTGAAACTTCTCTTGCTCTGCTGATCTATTTCTGTGCCAATACCACCTGCTGTAACTTTAAAATAGGTTTTTTATACCAAGTAAAAATTAGTTATCACTCTTTTTCTATTAATGCTCAGGGTGTACTCAGCTTTTATTATATATTTAATCATATGTGCATATTTATTTTATACATAAACTAAAGAATTATTTGGTCAGATCCCCTCTCCCCACAAATCTTAGTATTTTTCTTGGGGATGTTTAATAAAAAGTGCTTCTGTTCCAGAACTTGATATGTATCACCATTTAATTTTTTAGTGTGTTCCTTTCTAGAGTATTCTAGTTTTTTTTTTTTTTAAAGATTTATTTATTTGTGCATATAAAAGCTGGGGTATATGCCAGAGGTGCAGGGGGTGAGAGGATTCAACAGAGACAGAGTGAGGAGCAGAACAGGCAGATTGACTGAAATACACTGCTGAGAGGAGCAGCAGGCGAGGTCTGCTGCACCGTGTGGGTAGCTCCTTGGTGGGCCGGGGATCGAACTCATGCTGCAGTGGCTGTGGATAGCTTCACAGTGCTGTGCTTAACCCCTTGTGCCACCAGGGAGGCCCCTAAAGTATTTTAGTTTTCAATGGCAAGGTAATTCATGCTTAGTCTGTGTTACGTATGTCTCCATGTTTTATATTCTGTTGTCCTGAACTCTTGAGTCGCTCTCCCGATTTCTGCCCCTGGAAGCACATCCCCCAGCCTCTTACTGCTGGCATTCTTGTAGTTCTCTTGCCCTGGAAGTCTGCCATTTTGGGAATAAGTCACATCAAGAATGCTTTTCCATCACAATTACTTTTCACGGTATCTGCTGGGCCCACAGAAGCTTGAAGACCCTCGCCATGCCACATGGGGGTGGCCCCGCCAGCACGGATAACTCTGGTCACAGACTTTAGATTTCTTCCCACTCAACCCTTTGATCTCCCATTCATGGAGTATCTTGTTTCCTGCTGCTTGCCTGACAACCCCACTGCTTCACCCTTGGGTTTCCAATCCTGGGAATCAGACACCAGGCCAATGTATCTTCCAAAACTTTAGGGAATACAAAGCATATTCTCCAAAGAAGGGTCCTTCTGAAGCCCCTCTCCTTAGGCTTTTACTGAGGAAGTCCCTCTTAACCCCACCGTGTGGGTGGATAGAAAGAGCTCAGCATGCCCATAGCTTTCTCAAAATTTTTTTTCTTTCTTTGACCTTTTCAATTTAAGTTACTTTACAACCCAGGGTTTAGGCTAAAGGTTACCAGATTATTTGGAAATCTTCATTTTAGAATATGGGAGTACTTGCACACAATTATTTTTCCCTGCAGTCTTTGTAGAATCCTGGTCAAAACAAATAAAATGAGCCCAGTGTGGGGTCAAAGAATATGAAAATATAGTTCACAGGAAAAGAAATATAAATGATTCTTAAATATAACTGCAATCTTATTTTTAAGATAAATGCAAATTAGTGAGGTATCGTTTCTTGCCTGTCAAATTGGGGAAATCCAGAAATTGGACAAAACTTTTTTTCTGAGGCTGTTGGAAAGAATCAAGCACTCAAACCTGGCTAGTGGGGGTACAAAATGGAACGCGCTTTAGAAAGGAATCTGGCAATGTTGTACAATGCCTTTGTCCAGATGCCCTTGTTCCTTAGCCCAGCAGTCCCACTTTTGAGACCTACCTCGTGGACTGCCCTGCACATGGTCAAAATGGCACAGGTACAGGGTTATTCATTGTGGCCTCGTTCATAATAGCAAGAGCTTAGAACCAACCCACATGCCACTTAGGAAGAAACTGATTAAGTGAACCGTTCTGAGTACACAATGGGGTGCTGTGCAGTTTTCAAACTGACCGACCCTGTTTGCTTGATGACTTCTGCTTTGCATAATTGCTTGCTTGGTCAACCGCCATGTTGCATTCTGGTAAACTGGAAGGAAAGTACATTGTTTGAACTTGAGCAACAGGAAAAAGAAGTTATTTTGAGCAGAGTCTTCCCTGCTCGAAGTGAAACAAAGAGTCTGAGACTTGATTCTGAAGAAGAAGATGCCAGTGAAACTTCAAGTGTTTCAGCTTAGAGTTTCAACTGAGAAGCTCCCAAATTCTAAGAGCTCAATGAATTTCCACTTAATTCTGAGGAGACTCCTTGAGAACCTTATGCTGAAGATAGTTGGTCATAATTCATGGTGTGAAAGGAACACTTAAAAAAAAACAAACAAACAACTGTCCATAACATAAAGGGATGGATTTGACACACAATAAGAGAAAGTTTAAGGTAATCTGAGCCACACTGCGTTTTTGAAAATGCTTTAAACTAAATGTTTATGCCTCGTACTCTAAGACCAAAGTGTATAGATTTTTTGAATTATTCTCAGGAAGCAGCTTTAACTCATCACAGCTTGTTAGCTTGTTTGCTTTTTTTTTTTAGTTTTTAACTATTAGATTCCTGAATGTCATGGCCCAGTTGGCTTGGAGCTGCTTTGAGCCTCCCCGTGGGTCCATCCTTTGAGGCTATCTGTCATTTGGAGAAGTCCATTAACAGTGGTCTTCCCTGCTAAGTGTAAAGCCTTGGTGACAATTTCAAATCATTGGGATGGTGTATATTAGGCAAATATGGGGATAAATGACTGTAATAAATCTAATTAACAAAGAGCAATGGGCTTGCTACAAATAATTCTCACACATCAGTAAGAAAACCTAAGGTCCCTCTGCAAGGAAGAGACATTATTAGACGATTCACAAATCTACTGGTATTTTTCTCTGGAAGTCATACCTTTATGTATTTTTTTCTTGTACCAGCAAAAATGAAGCAACAAATGAAGAGCATGAGAACACTGGGGTGGAAAGTCCAGAGGACACTGGACAGTGGGCCAACATTTTCACTATCAGAAGGCTTGGTGTGATTTTCATTCAAGCTCATCAGCGTGTGTCTTTGGCCTTTCTATTCCTCGACAATTTTTTCTTTTCTTGCCTAATACTATGCTGCTCTAATTAATGGCTTCCAGTTGATCATCGCTCTCTGGGTCCTATTTCCTAAACCCAAAGGAGGACTTGAGGTACATGAATTTCCCCTGTGAGTGAGAAATCATTTCACAACACCCAACAAATATCTTGCAGAGTATCTCAGGGGTGGAGTTTCTACCCTTACATAGTGGTTCAAGTGACAAGAAGAATGACAGAGGATGCAGGGAGCCACTGGAAGCCAGGTGGAGTTTGAACTGGACCTTGAAGCATTAGTGGGTTTTTTTCAGGTTGAGAAGACTAGAAAGAAACTTCCAGTAATTGTGGGGAGGGTGCGGGAGGTGTATATGTGAGCAAAGGCATGCAATTTCAAGAAGAGAGACATTAAATTTTAATAGCATGGGCCTCCCTGGTAGCGCAAAGGTTAAAGACACAGTGCTATCAGGCTATCGCCAGCCACTATAGCACTAGTTCGATCCCCAGCCAGCCAGGGAGCTGACCCACATGGCACAGCAGACCTCGCCTGTCTTGCCTGCTGCTCCCCTCAGCAGTGTATTTCAGTAGATCTGCCTGTTCTGCTCCCCACTCTGTCTGGTGGGTCCTCTCAACCCCCACCCCCGCACCTCTGGTCTACACCCCAGTTCCTGTATGCGTAAATAAATCTTAAAAAAATTTAATAGCGCAGCTAGAGAAGAAGGTTCAAGATAAGGGAGACATCACCAAGGTAAAAATGGAGTTAATGGTGCATTGGATGGGCAGGGTCTGGGAGGTAATTACACAAAGAAGAAGATCTGTTTATTAAGCCTTTCAAAATAACATTTACAAAGAAAAGAACATCTTCTAGACAAATTGTGACTCTAATGAGACTTCCTCCTCACCCCAAGACATACTAGATACTCATCCAAATTATTTCTCCTTCTAAGAGATTACTTTGAGAAACTTACTCCGACGATACTATGTGTTTAAAAAAATGTTAGAAATCCCCTCTGAGTGTTTCCTTCAGAATGTGTGTTTGAGCTATAAAAGGATATTGATGACCTCTCAGTGTTCTCTGTCTCTCTGTACATGGTGAAGATGTTATGTGTGCATTAACATTAAAGCAACCAGTTGGACATTTCTTTTATCAACTTGAGCATATGGCAAGTGACCTAAATATTTCCAAAAATCAAATACAATCTAAGAAAGATTTCACTTGTGGACTCAGAATACCAGAAAAATGTGCTCTGGTGGCAGTTTTTAGAGGGGAATTCCAATAGTATTTGGAGCAGCCACCACATTGGAGTCAGTGCTGAGCTCCCCGACACAGGGGCCACATTCTTTGATCATGGGCCTGCTGGAGAATGCCGTCACAAGTGGACAGGTTGTGACACAACCATTTATGGTCCGCAGTGATCGTGATGCGCTCATGCATAATTAGAACTTCTCTCCCTAATCACCCATGACAACCCTGACAAAATGGGAGAGAATAAGGGGATTTCCTAATACCATCAAAGACTAAGAGAACCTAAGGGTGAAATCAAGGGAGACTAGACTTCAGCACACTCTGGCTTTGTTCCATAAAGAGGAGCCCTTAGACAAAGGGAGGAGAGCTGCCCTGTGAGCTGAGCCAGGAAATGAGCAGAAATGGGCAGCCGTGCTTCTCTATGCAGATGCCAGTCATGGGGCAGGCAGAGTGCCCCTGCATGACCACCCCTCCCGGCTTTGTTTGCATTCAGGAAGACTGCAAAGCTTAGAAACTGGAGCATTCTGGGAAGGTACACACTATAAGTACACAAGTGTGATTCCTCAATAAACTGCCCTGTGTGTGTGTGTGTGTGTGTGTGTGTGTGTGTGTAGCGCATTGAGAAGATCCTGGCTAGAGTGACAGGAACTGCCATTGGACTACCTCCTCCCCTCCCCTTCAGAGAACGGGAGAGCAGGTCAGTAGAGACAAGAAAAAAGTCCTATCAGTTCAAGATTTTACCTTTTTTTTTTTTTTTTAACGGGAGGAGAATGCTTGCTTCCTCTTAATAACTGTACATCACACTTTAATTAGGAAGCATTTTCCTGTCATTTGTGCTGCACATGTTTTCCAACAGGGCTTACAGGCCTTAGAGGGCTTTTGTTCTTGTCATTATGCATATTAATGGTTATTGTACGATGTGCATTTTCCAGATTATGGATCTTTTATTTGTCATCACTGGTTTTTATGACCAATGTTCAAAAAGACTTTCCACCCAAAAAATATAAAAATATTTGTCCATGTAAATGGCTGACAGATTTAATTTTTAAAAATTAAAAAAAAGAAAAAATATCTGTCCAATATTTTTTCTAGTTATTATGTAATTTTAGTTTTCACTTAAAAAACATGTTTTAGGGCCTCCC